ATCCATGATGATATCTGTAGATCCAGTTCATTGTTAACTGTGATACAGTATTCCATAATTAATTTATCCATTCCTCCTTGGATAAGAATTTAGATTGTTTCAACCTTTTCTAGCTTCTACACAAGGTTTCATTCTTGTACACATTTCCAGTGTATATGCATAAATATTTCTTTAAGGAATACACTTAGAAGTGAAATTCTGGGTCACGGAGACTACTCATCGACTTTACTAGATGTTGATAATTTACACCCCAAAGTTGTTATATCAATTTACATTTCTACAAATAATGAATGAGTTCCTGTTTCCTTAGTAGTTTCCCAAAATTTATTTATTATCCTCATACTTAAGAACTTCTGCCAGTCTGATAAATGTGAAAAAGTTTTTTGTTCGTTTGTTTTTTAAAGTAGGCTCCATGCCCAGCATGGAACCCAACACAGGGCTTGAACTCATGACCCTGAGATCAAGACCTGAGCTGAGATCAAGAGTCGGATGCCACCCAGGTGCCCCAGTGTGATAAGGTATTAATTTGCATTTCCCTTATTACTAATGAGCCTGAGTATCTTTGAATGTTTGGTGTCCATTTAGGTTTCTTTTTCAGTGAACTTGCTGATTATATTCTTTGCCCATTTTTCTACTGGCTGTTTGTCTTTTTATTTTTGATAAAGAAATGTGGTAAATCATAAGAAATCTTTAAAAATTCTGGGCCAATACTCTGTTGGTTAGGTATGTTGAAACTACTTTCTATTAGTCTCTGGTTTATCTTTTAATTTTTGTATTTTACATAGCTTTATATATATATATATTTTTTTTTTTTAAGATTTTTTTTTATTTATTTGAGAGTGAGAGACAGTGACAGAGATAGTGAGAGAGAACACTCAGGTGGGGAGGAGAGGGAGAAGCAGGCTCCCCTCTGAGCAGGGAGCCCAATATGGGGCTCGATCCCAGGACCCAGGGATCATGACCTGAGCCGAAGGCAGACGCTTAACCGACTGAGCCACTCAGGTGCCCCACATAGCTTTATATTTTAAAGTACTAAAAGTTGTCATATTTGTCAACGTTTTCAAATATATATATATGAATATATATATATTTTTCAAGATTTTATTTATTTGACAGAGAGAGAGACAGCGAGAGGGGGAACACAGGCAGGGGGAGTGTGAGAGGGAGAAGCAGGCTTCCTGCTGAGCCAGGGAGCCCCATGCGGGGCTCGATCCCAGGACCCTGGGATCATGACCTGAGCTGAAGGCAGACGCTTAAGGACTGAGCCACTCAGGAGCCCCTCAAAAATATTTTTAGAAAAATTCTTCCCACACCCATAAAGGTATATACTCCTATAGTAATAATAGTAATAATAATTACATTTATATAGTGTTTATTACATGGCATGCCATATTTTAAGTATTTCATATATATATAGAGAGAGAGTATAGTTGACATAGGATGTTACTTAGTTTCAGTAGTACAACACAGTGATTCAACAACCCTTTACATTATGCTATGCTCACTGCAAGTGTAGCTACTATCTGTCACCATGCAAGGCTATTATAATACCATTGACTATATTCCTCATGCCTGTGACTTTTATTCCTGTGACTTAGTCATTCCATAACTGAAAGCCTGTATCTCCCACTCCCCTTCACCCATTTTGCCCATCCCCCACCCCTCTCCCCTCTGGCAATCATCTGTTTGTTCATTGTATTTATGGGTCTGATTCTGTTATTTGTTTATTCATTTATTTGTTTAGATTCCACATATAAGTGAAATCATGTTGTATTTGTCTTTCTCTCTCTCACTAATTTCATGGACCTTCTAGGTCCATCCATGTTGTTACAAAATGGCAAGATTTCATTCTTTTTTATGGCTGAGTAATATTTCTGTGTGTGTGTGTATACAGTATCTTCTTTATCCATTCACTTTTGGTGGGAATGTAAATTGGTACAGCCCCTGTGAAAAACAGTAAGGAATTTCCTCAAAAAATTAAAAATAGAAAAGACCATATGATCCAATAACTCTACTCCTGGGTATTTACCCAAAGAAAATGAAAACACTAATTCAAAAAGATATATGCACTCCCATGTTTACTGCAGCATTACTTACAATAGCCAAGATATGGAAGCAGCCCAAGTATCCATTGATAAATATTTTATATATTCATTAATCTTCATAATAATAGCACCTGCTTTGTAGCATTGTTGTCTCTACTTTGCAGATGAGGAAACTGAGTCATAAGAGGGCTTCTCCTAAAAGTTTTAGAGTTTTACTTTTTACTTTTGGGTATTTAGACAATCTGGAATTTTATTTTTGTGTATGACATAAGCTAGGATCTAATTATAGTTTTTCCTTATACAATTAACAAATTGCCTCATATTATTTATCAAATGGGCCATCCTTTCCCCACTGATTTATAATGCTTTTCCAGTCTTTTTATTTATTTATTTATTTATTTATTTATTTATTTATTTATTTATTTATGTAAAGATTTTATTTATTTATTTGACAGAGAGAGACACAGCGAGAGAGGGAACACAAGCAGGGAGAGTGGGAGAGGGAAAAGCAGGCTTCCCGCGGAGCAGGGAGCCCGATGCGGGGCTCGATCCCAGGACTCTGGGATCATGACCTGAGCCGAAGGCAGACGCTTAACGACTGAGCCACCCAGGCGCCCCTGCTTTTCCAGTCTTATAACAAAATCTGACTTATACATGAGTCCATTTCTAGGTTTTACTGTCTGTTCTATTGGATATTAGTCTTTCCCTACATCAATGCTGTATTGATTTAATTATGATGGTATGGATTTTGGTACAGTGATTTTTCTGTCCAAATTCTACTTTTTCAAAATTGTCTGGACTAGTTTTGGCCCTCTGACTTTTAGGACTACCTTGTAAAGTTGTATATAGTATTATTGGAAGTGCATCATATGTCCTTTTTAAAGTATGCAAATATTTCTGCTGAGTCTCCCTCCCCATAATCAGTGTGAATAAATTAAGTTAATTTCCTTTGCAGTGAAAGAGAGAATAACACAATATTAGAATGTAAAAAAGAGGGACGCCTGGGTGGTTCAGTTGGTTAAGTGTCTGCTTTGGCTCAGGTCATGATCCCAGGGTACTGGAATGGAGCCCTGAATCAGGCTCCCTGCTCAGCGGGGAGTCTGCTTCTCTCTCTGCCCCTCCCCTTGCTCATGTTCTCTCTCTCACTCAGATAAATAAAATCTTAAAAAAAAAAAAAAAAAAAGAATGTAGAAAAGAAATCTACCACCTCAATATCCTTTAACAGAGGACTAGTCAAATAAATTATGGTATATCCATAATACTGGAGGAATAAGATGATGCCAGTAAAAAGAAAAAGAAAAAGAGGTCTAAGTTACTAATATAAAACAGATCTCCAGACGTTGTTAAGTGAAAAATCAATATACAGAACCACTTGTATATGTTGATTTGGGTGAGAAAAGGAATGCAATACATGTATATCCATATTTGTTTGTATATTTATAAAGAAGCTCCGGAAGGATATACAAGAAATTAGTAACAGTGGTGCCCTGTATGTACTAGCAGGGGTGGGAAAGGAAATGGGTCAATAGGGCCAGAGGTCTGAGAAGTTCTTTCACTGCATGTCTTTTTATATTTTTTGATTTATAAACCATATGAATATTACTTGTTTTTTAAAAATTAAATATTAAATATTCTAACTCTCCTCCCTGAATTGTTTTTTTAAAAAGTAATATTTCTTTAAGGTTAAAAAAAAAAAGAAGACAAGTCTTGTATCTTTATCATATGATTCTTTGTTCAAGGAAGGAGTCAGTGAAGCAACTGGAAATGCAATACAAAGTATCCCAAGTTGTCTTTACAAGCCAAACATTTCAGGATAAAGAAAACTACAGTCTGAGAATCAAACTGGAGCTCAGAAATTCTTACAGGATCAATTTGGATACTAGAGTAGAGGAAATTAACCCAAAAAACTAGATGAAGAAATTTTAAAAAACTGATGAAAAAATTAAATTAAATGTATTTATAAAATTATAAATAAAATAATTATAAATAAAAATTTTAAATAAAAATCTAGATAAAGGCAATGTTGGAGCCGGATCTCAGTGGCTTTGGAAGGTCAACTGTGCCTCACTTTCTCCAACTCCACAGTAATCTTATCTGCCCCACCAGTGACCTGAGAATCATTGGTTAAATCTGCCAGTATAGCCCCAGATAAAGGTGACTTTAGGATACATTTAAAGTTCAAAAAATACAACCAGAAGATCAAGAATCTGTGGTATGTTAGACAATTTTATGTAAATGCAACAATGTTTGGGGAACAACTTTAAAGCAGAGGGCATCTTCTAACAAGAAGTTTTCTCTGAGGTTGCTCTGTAAATGGGTCAAATAGAGTTTTTACAGTCAGATCTTGGATAAGCCTGCTATTACTTTTTTAGATTTCCCTTATACACGTCGAAATTAAATTACTACTGGGAAGGAAGGGCATAAGTTATCATTCATGATATGGAGAATGGATGTTTTTCAAATATTAATACTTATTATTGTATATTCCCACATTTGTTATTTGCTATACCTGCTCAAACTCTTTTAAATTAATAACACGAAAATGTAGCAAAGAGAAAGGAATCTTCTGATGTTATACAAAAGCATAGAAAAAAAATTTAATAAATTCATGCTGCCTGGCCCACATAGAGCAGTGACCCATTAAATAATAGCAGGATGAATGAATTAACAATTATAGTCAGGAGTGATTTTCAAAAGTACAATAACAACAACTCTTTTGGGGCACCTGGGTGGCTCAGTTGTTAAGCATCTGCCTTTGGCTCAGATCATAATCCCAGGGCCCTGGGATCGAGCCCCACATCGGGCTCCCTGATCGGCGGAAAGCCTGCTTTTCCCTTCTCCCACTCCCCCTGCTTGTGTTCCCTCTCTCGCTGTGTCTCTCTCTGTCAAATAAATAAAATCTAAAAAAAAAAAACCAAAACCAAAACCAAAAAAAAACACAACTCTTTCACTTACCCAATTCAATACAGGTGATTCCAAGTGACCAAATATCAACTTTCCCATCATACTGTCCTTCGTCCATAGCTAAGATCACCTCTGGAGCCATCCTGCCAAATGTAATGTACAAAATTTGAGTTGCAAATTAAAAACAAAATTCATCTAATGAAGTGATTTGGTGAAATAGCTGTTTGAGCACAGTCTAAAATTTTGTCTAGTAAAGATATTATTTCCTTATACGAGTCATTTGGAAAAACACTGTTCAAAACATAAACATTATACTCAAGGATTTACAGGAAACAACACATTATTTTCAATAAATCCTGGTTCCACCATTATCTATCAGTTTTACCGCGGCTAAATTACTTAACCTCTCCGTATATCAGTTTTCCCATCTGTAATGTGGAGAGAATTCTAGTAGCTACCTCAGAAAGATTTGTAAAGGATTGATATGTAGGAAATACTTAAACAAATAACTATAGACAACATAGAAAATACTTATGGAACTATTTAAAACAATATGATCAGATATTTCAAAGATATTGCAACTCAAAAAATAAACAAACAGGCTATGATAATGGATATTGTTTGTCCAGAATGGATTTCCATAGGAGGGCAGGGGTCTTATCAGTTTAATATGTTTTTTTTTTCTGTTACTATATGTAAGTGCCTGCTTAGTAAATGCTACTTGATGATCATTGACAGAAAGGAAATTCAAATAGTAGCTAATTTTTTTAGTAGGTAAGTAATTATCCAGGGATATAAGTCATTGTCCAAGATACAATGAAATTCTAGTTTATCTATGAAAGGAAGGAAAGGCATCTTGAATAGATGGGGTGAAATTTTCAGTCAGAGTGACAAACTAAGAAAAGTCTCAAAAAAAGAACTCAACAAAAAAAAGAAACTGGATTTCTTTCACTGAAAGGTAATATTTATGCTTGTTGACTAGAGAAGGTTAAAGAAACTACTTTGTCCTTGCCTAGAGATTCTGCTTCAAGAGAAAGTTTCAAAAGAAACTTCAAATGAAATCTAAAACCTGAGCTTGGTCAGTGAGTTGATAATCCTGCTCAGTTTACACACAGTGACATCAACCTTATTTGAACAATTTAAAGTCTCTGGAAATTTTATACTAAGTCAGAGTGTTTCTTTTTTTTGCCAGTGAGTTTTCTATCCTTTAATGAAATCTCATATGAGGCACATGGTGAGACACTGTCAAAAAACAAAACAAAAGCAATGCTTTGAGCCCATCTTGTTCATGTATGTATATTTTAAAATTCTAGTTTTTAAATTCGACATACCAGTAAGGTGTGCCCACAAAGGAGTTGGCAGGAGAAGCCACTGAGGCAGATCCAAAATCAGCTAGTTTCACCTGACCTGGCTCTGTTAGAAGAATATTTCCTGCTTTAATATCCCTATAGGAAAAAATAAGAGGGTTAGAAAATTACTTTTCAACTTTGATTATGGAATAGGTCAGAGCATGCAATTAATAAGACAAAAAGTTTATTAAAAAAAACCTTGCTCAGATAGCCAGAAGGGGATTTAGTAATTACCGCATGTTATACGGGGGCCCAGATTCCTGGATGTACTTACAGGTAGGTCAAAGTAATTACTAAAAGGTAGAGCTTTATTTAGAGGGAAGGAATGCAGTGAGAAAAAAGGCAGACAGACGTGGCAGACAAGGAAACCTTTTCCATCGCTATACTTAAAAAAGCATATTCTCAGATGCTAAATCCAGTCATCAACAGTATCCCTTCTGCTGGGAAAATTGGTGCCATTTGTAACTGCCTTTTTTTTTTTTCTTTTCCAAATTACATAACATTTTTGGAGTCTAAATAAACCTTCAATAACTGTATTATCTACCTACCAATAAACCTCAACTACACACATACCTTTTCTTTCTTGCCTGTGACCCTTTCTCTCTGCCTTAATTGTAACTGCAACTCTAAGGCATTTGAGGGTACATGTTATATGGAAGGTGTTATTTTAAAAATAACACTGTACAGTAAAAAGAAGACCCTGAAAGATCAAAACAAACAAGGATTAGGGATTAGGAAATTGCATTTCTATTGTATTACTACAAAGAATCGCAAGCTGTTACTACTAAAGCTATTAGATATTTTATGCAGCAGAAAAGTTTTCAAAATATTATTTTAAAATATTCATTGTTGAGGATGATAATTTAGAATGAAAAGACATGGGTGTACTCTTGATTCTCTTCAAAAAAAGCATGAGGTGTAATGAGTACCAGGAACCAAGACTTATAAATTGGTGGGCCGTGGAAAGACAAAGCAGAGAGAATGAGGAAAACGGAAGCTGAAAATGAGAAGGTTCAAATGTTTCCAAAACAATGTCTCCAAAAATTTTCTCTTGAAAATTCAGTTTCTTTACTCAAGATGACATTAGGCATTGGCAGAGAGAACTAAAAAAAACACTTATTTATCTAACAAAAGAAAAATACCTCTTCTCTATTACCTTCAATTAGAACACTGACTTGTCAAATCAAAATAATAAATCTGAGACACGGTTTTTATTTTTAAATAGGGAGCACACTTTATTATTTTTTTAAGATTTTATTTATTTATTTGACAGAGACAGAGATAGGGAGAGCAGGAACACAAGCAGGGGGAGTGGGAGAGGGAGAAGCAGGCTTCCCGCGGAGCAGAGAGCCCAATGTGGGGCTCGATCCCAGGACCCTGGGATCATGATCTGAGCTGAAGGCAGACGCCCAACGACTAAGCCACCCAGGCGCCCCGGGGAGCACACTTTAAAAGCTTTGTTTTTTCAACTTCTTTTATATACTAAAGAAGATAAAGTATAATATAGAATATAAAACATTAAATCAATATGCAGATTTTTGTTAACAAAGGCACAAAAAAATGAACCATGGCTTTAAACAGGAACCAGCAAAATCATATATAAACAAGTTGGCATTTGGTAATGACATTTTGGTAACAAAAAAACGTACTATAAAAATTTTTTTGGTCAAACCCATAGACACTATGGTTAAATCCATTTTATCAGCATTTATTAGATATGGTTAAGTTCATTCTTTGTCTTTATTATACATAAGCCAAATTCACGGCAGGAATTTTGGTCTGCCTATTTTGAGGAAGTTCTGCCTTTGCTGTACCAGTAACTGATAATGGCTACTCTGGGGTGATTAAAACAGAAGCAAAAGGGGAACCTATGATGTAATAGTTTCATTTCTTCCTAGTAAATGTCAAAGTTTTTTCTTTTGTTTTTGAGCCACTGGATCCTTTATATCTACCCCATATTCCACCACTTCTGCCACCATTCATTAAAGTAACTGTACTAGCAGTTCTTTACTGAGAGAAGGAAAGATTAGGAGAACATCTTTATTTAGGAGAAGTTAGTAGTAGGAAGTAGACTGGAGGGAGGACAGTGGAGTTGTGGTAGAGAAAATAAAAGGTAGAGGAAAGCCTTGGATTAGGAGTTAGGAAATCTGAGCTTCAATCTTTATTATGTAAAACCTGTGAAACTGTGGGCAATTATTTTAATCTTTCAGAGCCCCAGTTTCTTCAGCTGCCAAGATAAATACAATACTATCTTCCTAAATATCTATGTGGACTATAGAAAAGCACAATATTTTAAAGTTATGAAATAGTACGTATTTATATAATATTGACTTGTTATTTGCAACAGGAAAAGGAGAAGAAACTCAGCTAGGAAATAAATATATGGAAGGAAGGCTAATTTTCTTTTCTTCTTGGCATTGTATCAAAAGGCTGCTGGGCCCTTCCTCAAATTTTCCTGCAACATCCTGCCTTGGAGACAGTTACCTATAGAACAGAGGTGATGCAAGTCTTCGTGAACATCTGGGACAGACCAAGAGACAGAAGCTAAATTCTGACAACTTTCCTTCTTACATCCAGCAGCAGCAGCAGCAATCTCTTTGCTTCCTATAAATCCACAGGCACCCTAAAAAGTGGAGCAGGCACTAACTTTCAAGATTCCTTGGATAGTCCTGTAACTGACATGTAACTGGTCTCCAGTCTTACCTATGAATCAGTGCATGAGAATGCAGGTAGGCCAGACCCTGCAAGGCACCGTGAGTAATGGCAGCGATTTCCACTTCTTGAAGTGGTTTTTTGTGAACTGAGGAAGGAAAAGAAAAATTCAGAAGTAGTAATCAGTTGCATTCTTCTTAAAATCTTATACAGTTATACCAAACTGAATTACATACTCTCAAATGACAATTTGGGAACACATCCACCATATTTCCTATAGAATTGCAATAAATAATCAGATAAAAGGAAACTCAAGTACAAAAACAAACAAACAAACAAACTCCTTAAAACAAAATAAAACAAAGCCTGATATTCACTGTAATGAGTTGTTAATTGACCTGTCAGTTGCAAGTCAAAGCCACCACTGATTCCAATTGGCCAGGCCCAAATTTACCAGTCCTTTCTGACATTTTAAATGCCTAGAATGTTTTAGGTTGTATTATTCTCCTCTCCACAGAGCATCTATAATTACCTCTTCTAACTACAGGTTTTCATTATTTGTGAAAGCAGCTAATAAGCAATTTCTATTCAGAGATCAAGGGTGATATAAAAAAGTTTTTTTTTAATGTAAATTTTTAACCCAGTCTCTGATTATAATAGTATTTGCAGAAGAGAACTGGGTCAAGTCAAGATATTTGAAGGAGTTAAATATCAATATAATTTGATACCATCTACCTCTCTTTCATATATACATATGAATTTGACGTTTTTGGGTACATACATCATATTAGCCGAACATTTTAGTAAGTACCTGCCCTGGATGGGCCATGCACTGAACAGCAGGAGGGCTGTTAATCATTCCCGAGACACTTTCAGCCACTGCAGAGATAAAGTTTGCACAGCTCATCCACACAACCCTTAGGTATGAGTCAGCATCCATTTGCTTTGCCCAAATTGCACTTTAATATAGGAGTAGATACTATTCTGGTCAAGGCAGAACATAAAGGAGGGGGATAGTGCTTTTATTCTTACCTTCTAACAAATCAGAGGCTGAGCCTAAGCAATATTCCATCACCAACTGTAATAGATTAAAATAATAACCAGAATAATGACAGTTAATAAGAAACTGCTAAAACCAACTTAAGTAACCAAGGAACTAAGAATGCTAGGAGAGTAAGTATTCTTTTTTTTAATGATTTTCTTTATTTATTTGAGAGAGCGAGAGAGAGAGAGAGCATGTGCGAGTGAGAAAGAGAACATGAGCAGGGTGGAGGGACAGAGAGGGAGAAGCAGACTCTGCAGAGCAGGGAGCCCGATGCAGGACTCAATCCCAGTACCCTGGGATCATGATGTGAGCCGAAGGCAGATGCTTCACCAAGTGAGCCACCCAGGTGCCCTGAGAGTAAGTATTCTGACCTACTTGACCTGGATTAAATTTTGGTCATGTGACACTAATTGATTTTTTGTAACTTTTATCATATGGTTTTATTTCCTCCTTGGAACTGGAATGTTCTAAGACTATAAGGGCAGGGAGCCTGATGTGGGACTCAAACCCAGGACTCTGGGATCATGACCTGAGCCGAAGGCAGATGCTTAACCAACTGAGCCACCCAGGCGTCCCATATATTATATTATTATGTATAACAGAGTTATATATTCACATCTAAACTATTAAATTCATTATATATTTATATATGTAATTAAATATATAACTATATATGTTAAAATTATTCCATTACCAGAATAATTTAAAACATAAGAAACACAGAAGTTTAAAGTTTTGAAATTTTATTATAGTTTTCTGCTTGACATTAAAATAAGCAAATTCAGAAACATTAATTTTATTTACGTATGAATAGAAGTATAATTGACATATAATATTATGTTGATTTCAGGTACACTTCATAGTGATTCAACAATTATCCATTATGAAATGCTCACCAACCTAAGCGTAGTTACCATCTGTCACCATACGAAGTTATTACAGTATTACTGACTATATCCCTATGCTGTACTTTTCATCTTTGTTATTTTATAACTGGAAGTTTGCACCTCTTAATTCCCTTTACCTATTTCATCCATTCCCCTACCCCTGTCCCATCTGGCAACTAACAGTTTGTTCTATGTGTTTATGAGTCTGTTCCTGGTTTTTTGTTTGTTCATTTGTTTTTTTTGGATTCCACATGTAAGTGAAATCATATGGTATTTGTCTTTCTCTGTCCAACTTATTTCACTTAGCATAATACCCTCTAGGTCAATCCATGTTGTCGCAAATGACAAAATTTCATTCTTTTTTATGGCTGAGTAATATTACATTGTATATGTACACCACATCTTTATCCATTCATCTATCAGTATCACTGAGGCTGCTTCCATACTTTGACTATTATAAATATGTTGCAATAAACATAGGGGTACATATATCTTTTCTAATGTGCACTTTTGTTTCCTTTGGGTAAATACCAAGTAGTGGAATTACTAGATTGTATGGTATTTCTATTCTTAATTTTTTGAGGAAACTCCATACAGTGGCTGCACCAATTTACATTCCCACCAACAATGCACAAGGATTCCCTTTTCTCCACATCCTTGCCAACAGTTGTTTTTTCTTGTCTTTTTGGTACTAGACATTCTAACTGGTGTGACGTATAATTTTATTTCTTATTGTGAAATGAGAGATTCCACATTAAATCAATACCATAATAAACATTAGCCTTTTATGTGCACTATTTTTTCCGCTTTATTGAGGTATAATTGACAAATACTCCTTCTTTATTTTTTTTTTTAAAGATTTATTTATTTATTTGACAGAGAGAGAGACAGCAAGAGAGGGAACACAAGCAGTGAAGTGGGAGAAGGAGAAGCAGGCTTCCCACGGAGCAGGGAGCCTGATGCGGGACTCGATCCCAGGACCCTGGGATCATGACCTGAGCCAAAGGCAGAAGCTTAACGACTGAGCCAGCCAGGCATCCCAATTTACTTAGTTGTTTAAGAAATGTTTCCATCAAAATTGGTTAAAGAAGGAGTGTTTGGGGCGCTGGGTGGCTCAGTCATTAAGCGTCTGCCTTTGGCTCAGATCATGATCCCAGCGTCCTGGGATCGAGCCCCGCATTGGGTTCCTTGCTCAGCAGGGAGCCTGCTTCTTCCTCTGCCTGCCGCTCCCCCTGCTTGTGAGCTCGCTCTCTCTGGCAAGGAAATAAATAAAATCATAAAAAAAAACCCTAAGTAAATTAATATGCACATATAACTTCCTTTAACTGAGTATATGGAATATGAACATAGAACTTTAAAACCAAATGGAGAGAATATGGTTCTAGGACAGTTATGGTTATATTTTTAAAATTTTTATGTTAATGTATATTTTGATCATTTTATCTTTTCCCTATTATTCCATAACACAAGGACACCTGAGCTGTGGCTAGTTGTTTGCTCCTGACATTAACAGCTCTAGTTGCTCTACCTTTTTTTTTTTTAAATAGAGTTATTTATTTACTTGAGACAGAGAGAGACTGAGCCAACGTGGGGGGAGGAGGGCAGAGGGAGAGGGAGAGAGAAACTCAAGCCTCCATGCTTAAAATCCCTTTCTTGACTCATTTAAGATGGCTGAGATTGCCAGAGAACTGATGTCCAGATAATGAAATACTCCTCTGATTAATTTCTTCTGCTCAGAACAGAAGCAACGACTCTATCTATCTTAAAAGCTGCTTGAAAAGAACTGTTTATGTTTAAGTATATTGTTTGATAGTCTATCTGGGAACAAAAATTCCATTCCCTAACTGGAGATCACTTGTACATGGTAACTTCTCAATAAATGACAGTTAGATTGGACTCTAAATTGGAACGTAAGGTCTGATAAAGTACAAAGTATATAGCATTTTCATGTACTAAACAGTAGCTAACCTAAACAAAGAAACACAATCATGTAAAAATATACTAAAAAGATAGAGTAGAACAAAAGACTTTTTTGAGGTAGGACTGGGGGCAGAGGGAGAGGAAGAGAGAGAATCCCAAGCAGGCTCCACACCCAGCAAAGAGTACGACATAGGGCTCAATCTCACAACCCTGAAATCATGACCTGAGCTGAAATCAAGAGTCAGACACTAACCCAACTGAGCCACCCAGACACCCAAGACTGTTTCATTTTAATCACATGTTAGGCCCTGTCTGATAAAACGTAGACCACGATGGTAATACTAAGCATAATCCCGAATTTTGGGGGAATTTGAGTGGGGGGTGAGAAATTACAACAGTAAAAATTCTAGGATGACAATAAAAGGATCTGCCTTTTACTTTTGCAAATAAATCATAAAATGGTACTAACTTTTCACTATCTGTTAATTGTTTATAGAATAAAATTTCCCATAGGCTAGATATCATATTTAATCTTATAGAATGTATACCATATGGCACACTCCGAGGTATTAACAAATGTTAAATACTGATAACAAAAGTCAAATGGGTCAGAAATGGGACTGATAATTTTACAGATCAAAGAGATAACAGAGGGGCGCCTGGGTGGCTCAGGACATGACCCCAGGGTCCTGGGATCGAGCCCCACATCAGGCTCCCTGCTCGGCGGAAAGCCTGCTTCTCCCTCTCCCACTCCCCTTGCTTGTGTTCCTGCTCTTGCTAGCTCTCTCTCTGTCAAATAAATAAATAAAATCTTTAAAAAAATAAAATTAAATAAAAAAAACAAAGAGATAACAGAAAAAAGAGAAAAAAAAATTTAATTGGAAATAAATGATAATACAGGTCCTTTGACTTACCCAAGCAGTGTGCTCTTTCAAGTAGCAACCCTTATACTCAATGGTATTAGGATGCTTTAATTGTCGTAGAAATTTGACTTCCTTGAGAATATCTTGCCATTTCTATTGAAGTAATAAAGAAAATGGTATAATTTTTTAGGCTGGAAATAGTATTTTACTATCAAGTATACCTATATAGTATTCTTTTCATTATTTTAAATGGACAAAGTAAAAGTTTAATAAATGAAGAAGCCGTTTAAACTTGTGTTATTTCTTTAATTTTAGTACATGTAAATGTAAATCTATGATATATGATAAAATATATGATAAATCTATTATACTAACTTATGTTCTATTCCACAAATTAGTTGATTGAGGTAGAATATTAAGAATATTTATTATATACACCCAAAAAGGAATAAAAAAAGAACTATGATAAATGTTTAAAGAACTTGGTTTCTACCATCAATTTCATACTAACTGGTTTATATCAGTTTAGGTATACAACTGTCTTTAACATACCTCATGTGTCTGCTTCCCACTGTAGGACATTTTCTTAACTGCCACCACCTCATTGGTGTGAGCATTTGTGGCCTGTGTTGAGACAGCAGAAGAAAAAATAAATAAAAGAGAATGATGTTTCAGCCACTTTAACTTAAATATTCGACTAGAGACTTTAAATAACATTCTCACACTTTACTATCATAGTTTAAAGATGCTGCAACTTCTGATAGGCTAGATAGACATTCTCTCCCCCCCCCACTGTAAAGTACAGCTTCTTTAGATCCCTATCCATATACATGCAAAGACTATAATATTAAAAAGGATTAGGGTTTAAAAATTATATATACAATCAAACAAAAACAAGTCAAATTTCCAAAACATCCATACTGGCTTCACCATATAAAATGTCCATCGATGGAGAACCAGTTAGATAATGTGGTACAATCACATGATGAAATAAACAGTAAAAGTATGAGATAATATATATGAATATACAGAAATATGGAAAGATGTAAAAAAAGCTGCATATTATCTTACTTTTGCAAAATAATATTAGTGTGAGTGTATGTGTAGAAAGAATATGAGAGAATTTATAGCAGCATATATATCAGTGATAATCCCTGGAGCAGTGTTGTCCAACAGAACTTGCTGTCTTGATGGAAATGCTTTATATCTACATTGTATATGATAGCATGTGAAATGTGGCTACAGTGACTGAGGAAATGGAGTTTACATTTTAATTAATTTAAATCTAAATTGTGGCTACTGCATTGAACAATGCAGCAGAAGGTAAGATTAATTTTAAGAGGGACTTTCACTTCCAAGGGGACTTATGTTTTATAGTAAGAATGTATTACATATATACTTACAAACATGTGTGTGTCTTCATCTATAAAGACTGCCTTGTCTCATAATTATCTCTATATAGCGTTTCCATACCCCAAATACAATTCAGTGAAAGCACACATGAAAATAACAAATAACTCAAGTAATAGTCTTCCTCCAGATTTTCTTAAGAGATCTAAAACTAGATAATTTTCTAAAAATTTTTGGAAAAATAAATAGAAGACATTAAAAGATTATCTAATTTTGGCTTCTTCTAATAACAGAGCTTTGCATCAGTGCCGTACTCCTGATGGCAGTAAGCTATTTTGATTCTATGATATTATTATTGTAAACCAGTAAAGCTATAGCAGTGGTTCTGAGGTAAAAGATTGGAATTCACTCACTGATAAAATCAGGTCACCAATTTTAGAGAAAAATGTAGAATCACGTTCTTAAAAACACTTAAAGAAGCTCCTCAGATAAAACAGTGAATTTCTTTCTAATTAAAAAAAATTTTTAATTTTTTTCTAATTAAAAAATGTTTAAGTTAAAAAATGAACAACTTATTGATATAAAAATTCAGCCAGAGTCTTACTGAATGACAAAATGCTGAACAAATGAACACTGAAAAAAAAATTTTTTTAATTATTTTTTAAAGATTTTTATTTATTTATTGAGAGAGATAATGACAGAGAGCATGAGAGGGGGGACAGTCAGAGGGAGAAGTAGACTCCCCACTGTGCAGGGAGCCCGATGCGGGAATCGATCCCGGGACTCCAGGATCATGACCTGAGCCTAAGGCAGTCGCTTAAACAACTGACCCACCCAGGCACCCTTTTATTTTTTTTTAAAGATTTTTATTTATGAAAAAAAACTTTTTTTATAAGCACTAAAGAAAGGCAAAAGTACCTATTATAAAAAATAAGGTATCCCACTAGTCAGAGTTTTCACATCAGCAGGCCTCTACAAAGGCATTTTTTAGATATTTTGTTCATTTAGAAGGTACAGATGGACTTTTGTTAAAAATAAAAATCTCTCATTTTGCTGGCTTTTAAAAATTTAACTCTAAGACTGCTTATATGACAGCAACAAAGACAAGTTGATGTGAATTCAGTATTACAATAAAGGTTAGAGTGATTGTATCTGAAAAGCGGGTATTTTGGGGGTGAATCTATGTATTGTGCAGGTTAAACAGACTGGGAAAGGTTTAGGAAATGCTCAAGCAATGAGGAATTTTAACTTGTAATGGTATTTTTTAAAAAACAAATCCTTAACCTTTATAAAAAGAAAAAAAAAGACCCACACAAATGGAATCAGATGGCATTGTCTAATTGCTTATTAAGGTTATTTATAATCAATGCTTATTTGGAAACAGAGACTTGAAAAAAGTTACCCTAGGATAAAAATATATTTCTTGGGGCACTTAGGTGGTTCAGTTAAGTGTCCGATTCTTGATTTCGGGTCAGGTCATGATCTCAGAGTCTTGAGATCGAGCCTGTGTCTTGCTCTGTGCTCAGCAGGGAGTCTGCTTGAGATTCTCTCTCTCCCTCTTCTCTCCCTCTCTCTCCCTCTTCTCTCTCTGCCCCTCCCCCCGCACATGCTCTCTCTCTAAAAATAAATAAATTTTCAAAAACTATATATATAATAAATGTAATATATATATATTTCTTTACATTTACAGAGTAATTATTACTTAGGACTTGGTAAGTATATTTCCTTACAAAACCTGCCTACTGGAGCACAGACTCAATATTTGAAAAACATTTTCACGATGATTTTTCTTAGATGTGAAAATTTTTTTTTAAGATTTTATTTATTTATTTGAGAGAGAGAGAATGAGAGACAGAGAGCATGAGAGGGAGGAGGGTCAGAGGGAGAAGCAGACTCCCTGCTGAGCAGGGACCCTGATGCGGGACTCGATCCAGGGACTCCAGGATCATGCCCTGAGCCGAAGGCAGTCGCTTAACCAACTGAGCCACCCAGGCGCCCCCTCAGATGTGAAATTTATTTTTTAAGTTTTAATTTAAATTCCAGTTAGTTAACATACAGTGTAATATTAGTTTCAGGTATACAATTTACATCACCTAGTGCTTATCACAAGGGTGCTCCTTAATCCCCATCACCTGTTTCACCTGTCCCCTCCCCCTTCCCCTCTGGTAACCATCAGTCTGTTCTCTAAAGTTAAGAGTTGGTTTAGAGTAAAAAAAAAATTTTTTTTTTTTAAAGATTTTTATTTATTTATTTGTCAGTGGGGTGGAGCACAAGCAGAAGGAGTGGCAGGCAGAGGGAGAGGGAGAAGCAGGCTCCCTGCTGAGCAAGGAGCCTGACGTGGGACTCGATCCCAGGACCCCGGGATCATGACCTGAGCTGAAGGCAGATGCTTAGCCGACTGAGCCACCCAGGCATCCCCCCCCCCCCAAAAAAAATTTCTTTTTAAGATTTTTATTTATTTATTTGACAGAGAAAGACACAGTGAGAGAGGGAACACAAGCAGGGGAGTGGGAGAGGGAGAAGCAGGCTTCCTGCGGAGCAGGGAGCCCGATGTGGGGCTCGATCCCAGGACCCTCAGATCATGACCAGAGCCGAAGGCAGACACTTAACGAATGAGCCACCCAGGTGCCCCTAGATGTAAAACTTTTAATGCAATTTTATACTGGTTAAAATTCAGAACTGAAACTTAAAAAAAATCAATGTTTTAAGCAGAAAAAGGAAACTATCAGTGGGGGCTCAGCTTTCCAGTACTTCAAACAATATTATGATTACAACCTCTACACATGTCAAGTGTTATTCTTGAAACTTACATTCATATTTAACATTTCCAAGTGTCTTAATAATCTCAGTAACTTTAAGCAAGATCACTGATTCAAAAAATATTTAGAGTACTATGTGTTTCTGACATTTTCTCAACCATTTCCAGCTACATTTAGATTACTGTCCACTTGTTGCTAATTTATAGAGAAATATAAAAATTAAAAATAAGCTTTTCTTTTTGCCTTAGTTATTAAGTCTCAACTAAAAGGTAATAATTATACCCAGAAGGACAGAATTAAATTATTAGCCTTAGGTGGATTATAGAAGATATGTGAAGTTCAACAAGGCAACACTACAAACGTAGAAACTTCATAGTTGTGTTTAAATGAATAAAAAAATGAACATGCTCGGTCCTTTTTTATTTTCCTTTCATACAGAGTTTCTTACTATCTCATTTGTTAATGCTGCTAATTTCTGAATCACTTATGTAAATCCAAACACACAAAGGTATTTCATCAATAGCTTCCGTTTTTTTCTAAATATACTCTCAGCTGATTGAGTCTATGAGAGCTTGCTTTAAACATATTTCCTGGCATCATTAGTGTAAAAGCTAGACAAAAGTCTAACAGAATTACAGTGTTTAGGTATAAAAATGTTGGTTGCTAGAATCTGGTCTGAATGGCTTGCTAGTATGACTAGGATTCATGAAAAGTACTAATTAGCAGTACCCCAAGTTCTCTGAGTTCTTTATAATTTACTCATTCATTCAACGAATACTTATTAGGTATTCAAAAAGTGTCAGTTATTGGGCTAAGAATTGTGAGTAAATATGCCCAGTATCTATCTCTTGTTACAGACAGTAACAAAAATATCATAACCAACAAATGTAAAATTGCAATTATGACAGGTGCTATAAAGAAGAGTATGTGTTACTCTGAGAAACAAAAATGGGGGGATGGGCAGGTCAGGCAAGGCTTCCCTGAAGAAATGAGGCTTCAGCTGAGAGCAAAAAGAGGAACAGGAGTTAAGAAGGTGAAGGTAAAAGGGGAAACATTCCAGAAAGAACAGTTTATGCAAAAATCCTATGATGATGGTCAGAAGAAAGCTATCATAGTATAGCTAGGGCAATGAGAGCGAGAGGGAATATAGCTTCGTTACGACCAGGGACACATTGTGGAAGACGTTGTAGGCTGGCTACAGTAAGGGTTTTGATCAGATTTACTTCTTTTTTCCCCAAGCTCACTGTCGTGTGGACAACAGACTAAAGAGACACCACAGTGGATACACAAAGATGGCTTAGGAGGCTATTGCAGTTGTCCAAGAAAGAGATGACAGTCTTCTTGGTTATCATGGTATAAGTAACAAGAGGAAGAATCTATTAATAGTGAGGGAGGAACTACACATAAATATTACTGTGGCCAATGAGAAATCCATTCTCAGGTATTACCTGTGTGACCATTATAGATAAAAGGTTAAAGCTTTTCTAGGTTTTACAGTAAAGTGTAAGTTAATTCCCCTTTAATCTGTTTTTTAGTGCCTTACGGGTTTATATGGGCCTGTACTACTCGTATAGGAAATACTATATAGTTAATGATTACATTTTCAAAGCCACCCAGATATCCTTATGATTTTTCTAGTCTATCATATCAACAAATAACATATATTTAGTGCCTACTGTAAACAGGACATTGGGCTAACCTTTAGAGTTGTAAAGAGATATTAGAAAGAGTCCTCATTTTTTTTTTTTAAGATTTTATTTATTTATTTGAGAGAGAGAGAATGAGAGAGAGCACATGAGAGGGGGGAGGGTCAGAGGGAGAAGCAGACTCTCTGCCGAGCAGAGAGCCCGATGCGGGACTCGATCCCGGGACTCCAGGATCATGACCTGAGCCGAAGGCAGTCGCTTAACCAACTGAGCCACCCAGGCGCCCTAAGAGTCCTCATTTTCAAAAGGCATATACTCTAGTTAAATAGACAGGACTTAGCCCAAATAGCAAATAAATTGCTAGGTCTCCTGCAGCCTACTACAAATGACCTACAAAGTAGGTCTCATTTTGTCCTTAGTCCAAAGGCTTCTAAGTTTCAAAACATGCTTGGTTTACTGTAATCAAAAGGAGAATTTTGAGAGGGGCCTAGCTGCTTTTTATTTACTTATTTTTTTAAATTTAAATTCAATTTAGTTAACATATAGTGTATTATTAGTTTCAGGGGTAGAATTTAGTGATTCATCAGTTGCATATAACACCCAGTGCTCATTATATCTAGCTGCTTTTTAAAATACAAAAGTCAGATAGAGATTGGAACTACCCTCTGACTCTGGCCAAAAGAGATTCTGAGAGGATGAATGAGTTATAAATAGAAAGAAAGAAAAGATGACTGAGGAAAGTATCTTGGAGCAAAACAAGTAGATCACAAACAAATATATACAGAATGTTTCAATTTTTAGAAAGTTCAAAACCAGGCAAAACAAAATTATATTGTTAGGGGTGCAGAAGAAAGTGGGTTATGTATAAAGAAAAACTAGAAAATAATCACCATAAAATTCAAAATAGACTTAAGAGGGGCTTCAGAGGTGCTGGCAATATTCTATTTCTTGGCCTGGCTGGTGTTTATAAAAGGATTTACCTCTTAACTGTTCTTTAAATTACATATCAAAATATATGGGTATATATTTATGCACACTTCTGTATGTACATTTATAATTTAAAAATCCTCTTTAAAAAAAGCATCTCTGGGGTGCCTGGCTGGCTCATGCTGATAGAGCATGTGACTCTTGATCTCAGGGTTGTGAGTTTGAGCCCTAAGTTGGGGGCAGAGATTACTAAAAAAAATATAAATAAATAAACTTAAGGGAAAAAAGCATCCCTGTGAATGAGGAAGCAGGACTTTGATTGGGCTTTAAATACTATTCTAAGCCCAAAGACTAACATAGCAGTGTTGACTAGAAAATTAGCACACTTTTCAGCCATGGACGGTCACTTAATGATAAAATGTACTTGAGTGGAAGCTAAATGTTAAATGGGGGCAAAGGAGAAGTGGTAGTGCTGAGCACAGACATAAAGGCATGAGAAAGAGTTCAGGGGAAACCCAGGCTGAAGATTTGGCTAGAAACAAAAATGCAATTAATAAAATCTTATTTGGAAGGACAACTGAAGATAAGCCCTACCCAGATGCCAAGACATAAAGGATCACTTAAAAGTCAAACGCTATTTGATTAAGAAAAAAAACTATTCAATAACAGGTTTAGAGGAGAAATAAGTAATAAGCAGTACTTAAATATCACTTGCTTTCATGGACTAGGTCTCTTAAGTATTTGTGATTTTGATGAGGCGAACTTCTAAGGTTATAGAAATAAATTAAAACTACATTTTCTATAATGAATTGGTGAATGAGCTATGGTAACATTTCAGTCACTTCTCATTCTTCTTATCAGAAGATAACCACAGTCTTAAGAATTCAAACTGACTCTAGGGGGCTAAGCATTATACCCTTTAACCTAAAATATTGAATTGACATGAATGTTACTAAAAATCTTTGTTGGTCCACCTGTCTGAGTAGCTATCTGTTCATACATCCATCTGTCCATCATTTATTGATTTCCTACTATTACCAGACATTATACAGGTTACTGGGGATATAGCAATGGATAAGATAGGCATAACCCCTGCCCTCATGGCATTTATGTAGGGGAGGAACATACATGAGTCAAAAAATCTCACACATAATTATTTAATTACAACCATGATAAATGCAACAACATATAAGCACAGGGTGCTATGAGGTCATAAAGAAAGACTTAATTTAGTGCTGGACAGTTGAACAGGAAAGGACACCTTGTGGACGTAACACTTAAGCTGAAATCTGTAGGGTTAGCAGGAGTTAGGCAGGGATGGGGATGCAAGAGGTAGAATTTTCTAGGTGGGAGGAATAGCATATATAAAGGCCCTGAGGCAGAGAAGAGCTTGGCATATAGAGGAAATGCATAGGGCCAAAATTGAAGTTTATAACATTTTTTGGACTACCTTGATAGTAGAGTCAGGTGACAGAGATTCCACTGACTTTAATAATGCCTAGAATTCTAGGACTACCTTTTCAGCAATGAGTATTTGCCTCTAGTGTAGACATTTAATTTATAGAATAAACACTAAAAGCAAGTATATTTTACAAGTAATCGAATGTGTAGAATTCAAACTCCCCTAATTTAATCTCTCTCAACAATTCTAAAATTACTTACAAAATAAACTGCTCCAAAACTTCCATGTCCAATTTCATGCAAATCAATAAAAAGTTCTTCAGGATCATCTTTGTAGAAGAGATCAGCAATCTCTGGGTCCTTTGGCACCCCTTTACGCATGATGTCCAGTATATGCAAATGTTTTGCTTTTGATATCCCAGTCAGCCTTATCTCTCATTTACAAATATTTTGGGGGTAAGTTTTTAGTACCTGTAAAAAAATAAGGTTTGACATTAACTTATTTCTAAAACATCTTGGTTGGTGGCAATACAAATTAATATTAAAAAGCACCTTGGTCTTACAACTTCATAATAAAAAGACAAATAACCCAAAAGAAAAATGGGCAAAGGATCTGAATAAACATTTCACCAAAGATACACAAGTGGCCATTAACACATGAAAAGATGCTCCACATTATTAGTAATTAGAGAAATAAACATTAAAACCACAGTAATATATCATTTTATATCCACTAGGATAACTACTATCAAAAAGTCAAATACTATTGGTAAGGATGTGGAGAAAGCAGAACCCTCCAAAACTGCTGGTGGGAATATAAAGTGGTGCACCATTTTGGGAAACAGATTGGCAGTTCATCAAGAACTTAAAAATCAAGTTACCATTTGACCCAGAAATTCTACTACTTGGTATAAACCCAAGAGGAATAAAAACATATGTCCACACAAATACTTGTATGGATAGATACTGACAGCAGCATGATTCATAGTAGCCAGAGGTGGAAACAACCCAAATGTCCATTTGGTGAATGAATAAACAAAATGTGGTACATCTGTACAATGGAATATTACTCTGGCATAAAAAGGAACGAAGTACCAATATACGCTACAACATGGGCGAAACCTGTAAACATGATGCGAAGTTAAAGAAGCCAGTCACAAAAGACAAAGTATTGAATAATTCCATTTATATAATACACCCAGAATAACTAAATCTATGGAGACAGAAAGCAGGTTATTGGTTGTCTACAGCTGGGGGAAAGAGTTTGGCGGTGATAGCTAAAATGGATGGGCTTTCTTTTTTTTTTTCTTTTTTCTTTATTTTTTCTTTTTAAAGATTTTATTTATTTTTTAGAGAGCGAGCGAGAGAGAAACAGCATGAGAGGGGAGAGGGTCAGAGGGAGAAGCAGGCTCCCCGCTGAGCCGGGAGCCTGATGCGGGACTCGATCCCAGGACCCTGGGATCATGACCTGAGCCGAAGGCAGACGCTTAACCATCTGAGCCACCCAGGCGCCCTGGATGGGCTTTCTTTATAGAGTTATGAAAATGTTCTAAAACTGATTGTGGTGATGGTTGCACAATGGTTAATATACCAAAAACCACTGAATTGTACACTTTAAATGAGTTATATCTCAAAAAATCTGCTTTTAAAAGCAGTTTGGTGGGGCGCCTGGGTGGCTCAGTTGGTTAACCAGCTGCCTTCGGCTCAGGTCATGATCCTGAGGTCCTGGGATTGAGTCCCACCTCAGGCTCCCCCTGCTCTGCAGGGAGCCTGCTTCTCCCTCTCTCTCTGCCTGCCATTCCCCCTGTGTGCTCTCTCTCTGTCAAATAAATAAAATCTTAAAAAAAAAAAGCATTTTGGTCTAATTCATATTGAAATAATAACAGCTAAGGTTTATTAAGCACTATTATGTGTCAGGCAACACTAAGTTCCATATATGTATATATTATTTTCTTTAATCCCTATAGCAGCTTCACAATGTAGGACTTTATTATTTTGATTTTATATAACAAACTAGAACTGGGAGGCAAAACTACTCCCCCATAATCAGGGAGCTAGTATTTGTCAGAACTGGGGCCCAAACCCAGATCTAACTGTAGAGCCCATGCTCTTAATATATAATATATACACATAGAATAGGTAATTAGGTAACAAACTGCTACTATTTGGAGATTATGCCAACATTCACTTAAAGAGGCAGATTATTCTGCTGCTTTACAAAATATTCTGAGTTTAAAGTTTCTATTAATAGAAGGACATTATTTTGACATGCTTATATATTGGTTGTTAATAGTTACATTTAGCTGATATAGATCCTTATTTTTTGAAAAATACTGAAATATTAACTTTCATCTATATTTTTGTATTATAAATATTCCCCCCCGCCATGAGAATCAATCATTCCAACACTGACCATATCACAGGATAATTTGTGTTTCTTCCTTGACCCATCAGATAACTATGCTAGAAATTTAGTTATTGGCCAATAAAATCGTGTTTTTAAAAATGTGAGCCAACAGGCTTCATTCAAGGAGAAGAGAAAAAGAGGATTGTTAATAAAGAAGTATAAGTAGTCAGTGCTAAGAATCATTTTTCTCTTGTGACATGACAGCGTTAGCTATGTATATTACATGGTTAGTCTAGTTAAATCATTAGCATATGTAGGTCAGCAGCCTAACCATCTATCCAGGCAACTCTTTCCTGACTCAACAAATATTTATTGAGTGCCTACTATTTGTCAGGTATGTACTGGGTGTTGGTTGGTCCCAGGTACAATGGGATGTGGTCCCTGTCCTTAAAGGGCTTAGAGTCCGATGTGGGAATAAGCATTACACTATAATGATACAAATAACAAAATGGTTATAAATGATTTTTATGATGAAAAAGCAAAAAATTTAATAGAAGATATAATAGGGTGACCCAGTCTATTTTTTTCTTGGATATGAAAAAGCATGCCTTTTTAGGAAAAAATAAAGTAATTCATTCAATATGGATGTATGGAAGAGTTGGAAGGAGAAAATATAAAGCTGGTGTTAAGCCAAGGAAAATAACACCAGGCCTTTTAGGCCATATTAGGAAATTTGGACTTTATCCTGAGGGTGGTGGGGAGCCATCAAAGGTTTCAAACAGGAAAAAGGGATTCCTCTGCACACTCCACTTGTAATCCTGGGCACTCATCCTGACAATCCATGAATATTGACAACCAAGTATAAAGTCAATGTATTAATACTATTGAAAAAGTGACTTAAATTTAGTTGTCAGTCAAGTGACTAAAAGTACAAAACTAACATTGAAAAAGTGCTATTGTCTTCATTGCTTATGTTTGAGAACAGAAAAGAGAAACAATACATTAAATCAAGGATATGCATTTTCAAGACTATGCCAAAAAAAAAAAAAAAAGCAAATTATGAGAACGTCTTTAGGAAAAACAAAAAGATCTGTGAACTAAATTTATGAGAACTAAAATCTTTTCAATCATCAAAATGTATTCTAGGGGCTCCTGGGTGGCTCAGCTGTTAAACGTCTGCGTTCAGTGCAGGTCATGATCCCAGGGTCCTGGGATCAAGCCCCGCATCAGGCTCTCTGCTCAGTGAAAAGCCTGCTTCTCCCTCTCCCACTCCCCCTGCTTGTGTTCCCTCTCTTGCTGTGTCTCTCTCTGTCAAATAAATAAATAAAATCTCTAAAAAAAATGTATTCTAAACTTTTAAATATTTTGGCTTCAGTGTGAATAAAGCTAAGTACTATGGATAATCATTTGGAAGAATACATATTTCACTATGTCATACTCTAGACTAAAATGATTCTCTAAAGAAATGAATATTTAAATACAAAAAAAATGACACCATAAAAACTTCTTAAATAAATTTCAGGTGAATCTTTAAATACTAAGCAAGACACCAGAGGCAAAAGTCATAAACTAAAATCAGTAAAATTGACTATATGCAATTAATAACTTCTATATCTTAAAAAATACAATGAATGGACTTCTGATTCCAGCCAAGATGGAGTAACAGGGACTGGATTTATTATCTGCCACCAGAAACAACTAACATTACAGGAAGGAAAACAGACCAAAATTCTTCATAAATATAGATGCAAAAACTGATAACAAAATTACAGCATATAAAATCCAATAATATATAAAATGGGTAATACATCATGAGTAGATGGGATTTATCCCAGGAATGCAAGGTTGGTTTAACACTCAAAAATCAAGCAATGTAATTCACCAAATCAACAATCTGAAAAAAAGCCAAATAATCATCTCTAAAGATGTAGAAAATCATCTGACAAAATCCAAAATTCAAACCTGATAAAAATTCTGAGCCAACTCAGAATAGAAGGTAATATCCCCAACCTGTTAAAGGAAATCTATGAAACATTTATAGCTAATATCAAAAGTAATGGTCAAAGACCAAATGATTTCCTCCTAAGATTAGGAATGAAGCAAGGAAGTCTGCTCTCAGCCCTTCTCTTCAACATTGTGCTGGATGGTCTATAAGTGTAATAAGGCAAGAAAAAAATAAAGACATCAAGATTGGAAAGGAGAAGTGAGACTTTTACTGACAAACAACATAACCACCTATGTAGAAAATTCAGTGCAATCTACAAAAAGCTACTAGAATTAATAACTGAGTTAATCAAAGTGGCAGAACACAAGACCAAGATCAATATATAAAACTCAATTATATTTTTATATATGAACAAATGGAAACCAAAACTTCAAAACATCACACTAGCATAAAAGTATGAAATACTTAGGGATAAATCTGACAAAGAATGTGCAAGACCTGTACATTGAGAATTATAAAATAATGTAAGCAACTACTTTCTGCAAGGTAGGAGGTGCAGAGAAGTGAATCTGAGTGATTCTGATATATGGGAAGATAAACCATGGGGGTAGGGAGCCTCCATAAGCCGGCTACCAGAAAGTGATACAGCAGCGGAACACAAAATCAGAACCCTGCTCCAGTGAGGGAGGTCTCACCTGAAAGATGCTCACATTGCTAAGCAGGGGCAGAACTTTAGGTGGGTCAGTGTGGTCTCAGGATCCCCAGGGTCACAGGAAGACCAGGGGTGCCTGACTGAGGCAGAGTTCCCAGCCATTGGAGCAGGGAAGCCAGCTGCAATCAGGGAGCCCAGGAGTGGGCTTTCAGCTCGGGGTTGTCACAAACCATGAACCATGGCACGATCGGGTGACTGCTCCCTGAGCCAGGGCCCAGCAAGTGGCAGTACCAGTGAGACCCCCCTTCCTCCCCAGGAGAGGAGTGGTGAAGGAGTGTTCTGCAGGAGTCTGCAGGGTTTGGAGACTCGAAATGGGGTCGTGTGCCTGAGATAGAAACCCTTGGTCACAGGCAGGGTAAGCATGGAGTGCAGCCGGAGACCGGGGAGACGGGAGTGACTGACTGCTTTTCTCTGGTGGTACACTGAGAAGTTGGGCCCCAAGCTTTAGGCTCTGGGGCTGGAGACTG